CCCCGTGGCGCCCCAGGGAAAACAGGCGGGCTGGCAGCCTGCTCGTCACAACAACCCGACGGGGCTGTGGGAGAGACTCTTGCCATGTGGTTGGCCAAGCACAGTAGGTGCGGTCCCGCCGTACCACCCCTGAGAGGCCCGACGGAGTTACTCGAAGGGGTCCCCAGACGGGGGGGGCGCGGGAACTAAAGTCCTCGGGCAATGGGGTCTCCGCTGCTTGAGGCCAGCTGGTAAGTGGGGGTGGTGCCGGTGGCTGTGTCTCGAGGTGGCGTCTCGAGGCACCTCGCAACGGCGGCGCAGATGAGACGCCTAGGGCATGTTTGTGCTGCCATTCATGTTGCGAGGTCCGGCTACAAGTGAATTCGTGCAGGCACCCTGGGTACCTCCCTTCGGGTTGTGTCCTCCAGGCGCTCTGTCAAGGCAGAACGAAAAACCGCCATGCAGCCCCCGCCGAAGGGTCTGGATCGCAATGCCGTGGCCGGACATCCGACGTTATTGTTGATTCGATCCGCGAGCCCCAGCGTTCCCGATCCTTTCCCTGGGTGCAGCTCGACGCCCTGCACAGTTTTCTATGGCCCTGGGGCCCGAGACGAGGCCGAAGTGGCGGAAAAACGGTTGGATTGAAGAGCGCATTCCGCTGGACATGGGGATATGTTTCCCGCCCGCGACCCAGAGCCGTTCTAAACGTCGTCATCGTCACCGTCGTCGTCGTCGTCGTCGGAGGCCACCCTCCGCAGCCGTGCCGGCACAGGCTGGTCCTGGGGGACGGCCGCCGCGGCGCGCGCGCGCGTGCGCGCCCTCCGCCCGTTCCGCCGGAGGCGGCGTCCGCCACCGTCTGGCGCCCGCTGCCGCCACCGCTTCACCATGAAGAAAAGAGTCCCAGATCTTCGGCGGCATTGGATTTTCCACTCCAGAACTTCTCGCTGGGTCCCGTTGATTCCTGAAGGTTTCTCGCCTTGGGCTGCTTTCCAGTAGGCGCGCCTCGCCGAGAGCGTTCTGGGGGCGCATCGACCCTGAAGCCGCGATCTGCGATGATGACGAACGGGTTGCCAGAGTCGTCCCGAACGGCCGCTTTTCAGTCCCAGTATTTTTCCTCGTTTTCGGCCTCCGGGGCCCATGTTACAGAGACCTGGGGCTACCAGAAATGGATCTGGGGCGGACAGCTGCTCCTGGGGAAGGGGTCGGGATTTTTGGGGCTCTACATTGAAACTACCCCGCAAAAGGCCCTAACAGCAACCAAGGTGAAGAGGCTGGTCGAAGAGCAGGAGGTCGGCGAGTGAAAACGTATATTTCTAGATAATCGCAGGGATCACGGTCATGTGCACTTTATCGCATCATTTTAGAACGGTTTGTGGCCGTCCAGACCAAACATGTAGCTGACACTAAGGCGAAAACACTGGGCAGGGCGGTCTCGGGTTTCCCGTCCCCCTTTACGGTTTTTTTTCTGTTCCTTCCCACCACCAGCTCCTCCTAGCGAAACGATATCAGGGACAAACCGCATTGACGGATGTCCAGGAAAGGGGCCTTGAGGGACACAGGTTTTGAAGGTTTCTTTTTTCTTCGCGGAATCCTGGCCCTGCCCCAAGGCCCTGGGGCCCGCCACTAGGGTCATGCCACTAGGGTTTTGGGGGGAGCTCTCACTGGGGCCATGGAGTGCGTGAGGGGCGTGCCGAAATTAGTGGGGCGGCCGCATGCAACAAGGCCACTGGGGCCGTAGGCGGAGCCCCCGATGGGGCCACAGAACGCGTGAGGGGCGTGCCGTAATTAGTCGGGCGACCATCTGCGAACATGGCCAGTGATGTGACCTTCGGCGGAGCTCCCTATGGGGCCATGAGTCGTTCGGGGTGCGTGCTGAAATTTGTGGGGCGGCCACATGCGATTATGGGGAAGGCCCCGAAGACCCGGAACCCGTTTCTACCAGGACCCGCTTCCTTCGTGCCAACCTTTTGCTGCCGCCGTCGTCGTCGTCGTCGTCATCGTCGTCGTCGTCGTTGTCGTTGTCATCGTCCCCCCTCGTCCCCCTCTTCTTCCTCCTCCTCCTCCTCCTCCTCCTCTTCCTCGTCCTCCTCGTCCTCCTCGCCCTCCTCCTCCTCCTCATCCTCCTCCTCCCACTCTTCCTCCAAATCCTCCTATTCCTCCTCCTCCTCCTCCTCAAGCCTCCTCTTCCCGTATCCGTTTTGTTTCAGGATGCATCCTGTGCTTGGAAATAGAGCGGTTACCGTTGATCTGCGGTTGGCAAATGCGTTGTGGTTATATTGTGGGTTTCGGGATCCCGCGTCTTAACCAGTTTTTTTCCGCGCTCATTCCCAAGCTCGTGTTGTACCAGTTAGGAAACTAGAGGTGCGAATAACATCCAAGGAACATGATAACGTGAGAGATATTCGGTGAGCAGGAAGCGGCAGCCGAGAAGGGATCATGCGAGATCCCACAGTCGCCCGTCCGCTCTTCGCTCGAACACAGCGAGGGCATCTGATTTTTTTTATATTAACCAAAAAAAAAGCCGTCGTATCCAAGAGCGTGTCAGCAGCCGTGGTCGTAAGGAAGGTGATCGCTCTGGTGTTTCGGATGCGCAGAATGGTTCAAGGAGTACTGGAATGGATGAGGTCCCGAATGTGATGGCGTCGGTCGACACGAGCACCACAGCTCGCATCGACAACTCGACGGCGATCCTCCAGGCTCATACTCATACACATGATACAAATATAATGTCGCTTGGTTCACGTTCTTAGACCAGGCAAGAGATGATCAAAGTTCACCAGCATCATATCGATCGTATGAAGTCTCATATGCAGGAGGCTGCGCAGCAGTACGCTGTTCAATCGAGTACAGCGGGTTCGGCATCTTCGGGTTCTACGAAAGCACCCACTGGTGCCCTGGCTCAAGCAGCAGGTCGGGGTAAGCAGCAGGGTGCATATCGGTAGGCCCACGCGCCCTATACACAAATCCACTGGTGAAGCTTCCTACAAGCAGTTGGTGGCGACGCATTCTCATGAATGTCAGGACGTTCGGCCCGTCTTCCACGCCGCAGCCCAGAACTATAAGATCGTGTTTGGCTCCATCGCGGCCGCCCGCCAGCTCAGAGAGAACGTTCGCACCGTCGCATTTTAATGGTCGGACCTGAGGGGCTGCCAAAGTCATGCGCGTGTTGAGCAGGAACTTCCTACCGATGTGGAAAGCCGCCATCCAAACAAATGTAGGCCTGTTGCGTACTGTCATGGAGTGGTCGCGCGGGCGCAAGCATGGCATGTAGAGGCCGCGAGTAGTGGGTTGTCCAGGTTTTATTTGGTTGGTTTCGACTGTCAAGCGATTTTGGCGCCGCTCCGTCAGCTCATTTTTTTTGTTATTGGTTTGGGCGGATCGCGTGGTTTGGTGGTTTGATTTTGCGTGGTGGGGCCGTGCAGTGGGCTCTCTCTGTGTTGTTGTCATTGCGGGCTGCTCTGTTCAATGGAATCAATTGGCATGGCGCCACCACGCATCGAAAGGGCTCGGCCCAAACGAGATCATACGTCCTGTGAGGGCTCTCAAAAGGGCCTCTTGGAACCCTGTGGGAGGGACTCAGAAGCCCTCGGGGGGGGGGGGGCTCCGAGCGCTCGAACCCCGCCTGCCCACGAGCCCCGGTTACCCAAACATTTACGAAACATCTGCGAAACATCTACGAACCATTTACGAAACATCTACGCACGCAAAAACATCTACGACACATTTACGAAACATCCACGAAACATCTCCCGCGCATTTCCCGGGGGTCGAAAACGACGCGGTTGCATCTGCTGAAACCGTGGTCGCGCGAGCCCGATTCCGTTCACGGGCCGAACCTCGCCTGAAGTGTTGTAAATTACAATGCACAAGCGAGGTGGTCGCGTGAGCCCGAGTCCGCTCGGGGGGCGAACCTCGCTGGCAAAACATCTACAGACATCTACGAAACATCTACGAAACATCTACGCCCACAAAAACATTTACGAAACATCTACGAAACATCTACGCCCCGTTCCCGCGGGTAAGCCACGCCCCATGGGCTCGTCGCCATGGCTGGATTCCTGAGTGCGACAACAGGTCGGCGCTGGCGGTCCGCGATCACCGGCATCGGGGGCTTGGGGCCGCGCGCGGGGGGGGCGGGGTCGATGTGGGGGGCTAATCAATTTGCGCGGCTTTGTGCGCGGTGTTTCCGCGGGGGGCAGGTTGACGCCGCGGGCGTCGCAGCGCTGGCCGCTGCGTCGGGCGATTCTTCCATGAGCGGACCGAGCGCGGCATTCGAAGCAAGACGCAACTCAAGAAAGGCATCATGCCAGGCAGAGTGTCCTGGAGTGCGTCCGAGCGTCGGCCAGGCCCCCCTGGGCTGGTTTTGGGGCGGTCGTTTCAATTATTTGGACAGGTTTCCCTGGGCCATAAGTCGCGGCCTCTACAGCGTGGCATGCAAGATTTTGCAGGTGAGATGATGGCTGCCCCGCCTCGGGATGCGCGCGCCCATGGGAAATTAGCCAAGCGCAACGCCACGACGGAGGAGTTCCAAGTAGTGCAGGCGGAGCTGAAGTACACGGGGCACCAGCGCGCAACAAGCCCAACATCTTCAACTCCGCCCACGCCGCCATTGTCACTGGAGGGTAGGAGATATGCCTAAGGCAGTTTCGCGTGTTACAATACCACCGCGAGAGGACTCGCATCGACAGCGCGACGCCGAGCGCCCATGCGGTAGCTGGCCGCCCGCCTCCAGTTCCACGCAGAGGGACGCCCAGAGCACCAGCCATCATATACCAGCAGCTCGTGCATGCAGGCCATCGACTGCCACACTATTTCGCGTTTTTGGCATTGCCAGAAATGGTCGGAATGTTGCATCTAGTTTGCATGTGTCTTTCCCCGTTCTTGCTTTTGATCGGACCTGCATCCCCGCTTGTTCAAGTGGCATCTGCAGCTGGACCGTCCACGCTATCTTGGGGTCAGCGCGTTCGAACCTAGCTCGCTTCCGACGTGGGTGAGGCCGCGTCATTTCTCTGCCCCGTGAGTACCCGGCCATCGGGGCCCATAGGTCTCGTTGAAGGGAGGGGGGGGGGGGACGGGGCGGGCGGGGCATTGCGCGTCTTCAATGTTCGGTTCGGTCCCAACGGGTTTCGTGCAGTGTCTGTTTTCTTTCTTCTGCAGGTGGCAACGTGCTCCAACGTCCCAGAAGTTTGCCCATGTCTGCGGCGGCTGCGAGTTCGAGGGCATCGCGCCAGGTCGCGCCGATGCGTTGCACCTCGCATCCGAGAGAAGGGCCCCGAGCCTGCCTCGAACCCTCGCGTGGGTCTAGAGCGGGGGGCCCACGAGCTCTCGTGGGCGCTGTGCAGGTCGCAGAACAAGTTCGGGAATCGAGATACATTCGCTGCATTTCTGTTCGTGGATATCAATCTCCTGGCAGTTGAGAAATCTCGGCGCAACGTTTCCATTGGGTTTGAAGGTCCATCTGCGCGTGGCTGCGTCGTTTGCGCTGGCATTTTCTGCCGTCGGCGGGAGGTCTCTCAGGGTGGGCGCGCGGGTTCCACGGGGGCAGCGCGCGGTCCTTCGGCCGCCCTGACAGCCCGCGCTGTTTCCTCCATTGGAGCCTCGGGCGTCCCGAGGCCCCGCGCCCGCCCCAGCGCGGGTCGCACGACATTTTGCTTCCGTCCGCGAGGTTGCGCAGGACCCACTTGCGCCCGAAGACCCCGGGCAGGACTTCAACTCGCAGAGTCGCGCGAGCAAGGGCGTCTTGCATGTCGCCGCCGGCCGCGCCAAGTCGCGCGCCGCCGCGCGCGGGGCCGAGAAGCTCGAGGGGCGCGCGCCCGGCCGCCTGCGACTTGTTCGCGCCGCTCGGGGCGGCGCCTCTGGAGCGCGGCGGAAGGGGCATTCGGCCTGGGAGGTGTCGCGCCCCAGCATTTCCTCCGCGCTCAGGTTGGCCGCGGAGCGTTCGATTTGCAATTCGGCAGCTCGGCGAGGCGGGCGCGCGCCCCATGCGGGGGGGGGGGGGGGGGGCGCGACGAACGCGGCGGAAGTCTTGCGCCTGGCATGTTTTCCGAGGCCAAGCCGGCCGCGGCGCCCCCGCGCGCGCAGGGCGCGGCTCTTGCGCGGCGGTCGCGCGGCCGCGGAGCCCGCCTGCGGCGGGTGGCAAGCGCGGGCGGCCATGAGATTCAGACGGCGCTGAATTCGCCGGGGCCCTTGCAACGCACTGGAAGGGGGCGCTCGAGAACCGGGGCTCGCGAGGAGGGAATGGTGGACGCGGTGGGCCCCATCCCCACGCAAGAGCACCATTGCCAAGCTCGCGACCACGCCCGTTGCCCACGGGTGGCGCCCGAGGTCAGGCGCCAGGAAATTCCGCCGTGAAATTGAACGCCCCATGGCCATGGCGGCCCCCCTCGCGCTGCTTGGAAGGCCGCGGGAGACGCGGGCCCGAACGCGATGTACCCGAGTTGCCATCGCCCGATGGAGACAGGCCGTCCTCTGGATGATTTGACGATTGACGTTGCTCGAGGAGTCTTTCTCCAGCCCATGGATTGCCTCGGCGGGGCCGACCCCCGCGCCCGCGCGCCCGCGCGCGCCCCCGCTCAGTTCGGATAATTCCGATAGCAAGATTGTCGCTAGCCGCGCGGGCATTGCCCGGGGCTTGGCAGTAGTGGGCGCTGCTGAGACGCGCCAGAGAGTTTGCGGAAAGGGTGTCAGTCGCTCGACGGCGTTTACAGCCATCATCGCGGCTTTCCAGGGGTGGACCAGCATGGGTGTTTGCCCGAAATTTGGCGTTGCTCTGTTTGACGTGAAGAACGCTTCCCCGAGCGCCCTCCGCAGCGCAATATTTCGAAGGTGCTCGAGCGCGCCCGGCCCGCCCGCCCCCCGCGCGCTCGCGGGCAGTTCGCGTGCTTTGCCCCGCAAGGAGACTGAGCGTCGGGATCCTCGGGTGCGAGTCGGCGCGCGTTGCCGCGATGAGGCGGCGCGAACATCGGGCATCCCATGTTTGTTTATGCTCTGTCTGCGTCAATCCAAAGCAGTGGCGCATTCGGCTTGCGTGTTCGTCGTTGTCTCTAGTTCTTGTTGCGTTCATGGATGACATAGGCGCGGCGCGCAAATAGGTCCTCGCGGATCAACCCCGCGTGCTCCGCAGTCTCGCGGGGGCCGCGAGACGCGCGGGCTTGGCGCTCAGACTAGCCAGGTGCGCCCCGATCATTCCGAACCCGCCGCCCGGCGACTCGGTTGTCCAGGAGATGAAAGCTGGCGGGGTGGAGACTGCCAGGCGCAATGGTTTCCAAGAAAGGCAGATACCTAAGGGCGCATCTGGGGCGGAGGGCAGGGGGGGGGATAGGAGGTGGGCGGTGGGCGCGCTCTCGAGGAGGTCACTCCAGATCGAGCAAATGGGTGGCACCGAATAGATGGGATGTGGGCCTTCTTGCAGCGTCTCTGATTGCAACGGTGTTGGTATCCTGGTGGTATGCGAGTTGCGCAAATGCGAAAACTCTCGAAGTGGGTTGGTTCTGCAGAAAAATCACCCTGCAACGACTCGCCCGTGTTCTGCATTTCGTTTCCGCCAGGAGTGCCACGACAGTCCGGAGACTTGGAATTGCGGGAAGAAGCCCGTAGTCTCGAAGTACACTCGCGTGCCGGCACGTTCCATGTCGTCACTCTTTCGCTTAAGTTTCACTAGGTGAAATATGAGTGGGTGCAATTCGCGGGCTCTGGTGATGTGGTCTTCGTGTTGCGGTTCAGCCCGCTGGCTAGCCTGTGCAGATCCGTCAGGGCTTCGCCCCACGCCGCCGGCCCCCTGTCTCGGATAATGGGAGGTGCAAGCGCTAAATCATGAGGTCTGGGCGCCGCCGTGAAGCAGTGTCGTTGTTTGTTTTTCGACCCTGACCCTACGGATCTCCGTGAGGGGCGCCGCCGTTTTTTTTTTTTTGAAATGTGGCAAATCCTTTGTGTTTTTGGACTCTGACTCCGCCGATCTGCGCGAGGGGTGCCGCCGGATTTCAGAAATGTGGCGGATCCCTTGTGTTTTTGAATCCTGACCCCGCCGATCTGCGTGAGGGGTGCCGCCAGATTTTAGAAATATGACAAATCCTTTTGTGTTTTTGGACCCTGACCCCGCCGATTTGCGTGAGAGGTGCCACCGAATTTCAGAAATGTGGCAAATCCTTTGTGTTTTTGGATCCTGACCCTGCCAATTCCCTACCTAAGCTCTGCCTAGAAGGGTTCTTACTCTCTAGCTTAAAGGGGCCGGGCAGTGGAAAGCGCCCCGGGCGGTTCCCCCAGTCCCCTGGGAGCGGTTCCCCCCAGTCCCCTGGAAGCTTTAGCTTTAGCTGTAGCTTTAGCTTAGCTTTAGCTTAGCTGTAGCTTGGCTTTAGCTTAGCGTTTCGCTTAGCTTTTCGCTTAGCGTTTAGCTTAGCGTTTAGCTTAGCTTTAGCTTAGCTTTAGCTTAGCTTGAGCTTAGCTTGAGCTTAGCTGTAGCTTACATTTAGCTTAGATTTAGCTTAGCTTTAGCTTAGCTTTAGCTTAGCTTTAGCTTAGCTTTATCATAGCTTTAGCTTAGCTGTAGCTTAACTTTCGCTTAGCTGCTGCTCAGCTTTAGCTTAGCTTTAGCTTAGCTTTAGCTTAGCTTGAGCTTAGCTTGAGCTTAGCTTTAGCTTAGCTTTAGCTTAGCTGTGGCTTAGCTTTAGCTTAGCTTTAGCTTTAGCTTAGCTTTAGCTTAGCTTTAGCTTAGCTTTAGCTTAGCATTACTGTTACTACGAATGCTGCTTTCCTACGGTTTCCAACTCCTAGGTAGGGTCGCACTGGGATAATTTGCATGAGGGGTGCCACCAGATTTCAGAAATGTAGCAAATCCTTTGTGTTTTTGGACCCTGACCCTACGGATCTGCGTGAGGGGTGCCGCCGGATTTTAGAAATGTGGCAAATCCTTTGTGTTTTTGGACCCTGACTCCGCCGATCTGCGTGAGGGGTGCCGCCGGATTTCAGAAATGTGGCGGATCCCTTGTGTTTTTGGACCCTGACCCTGCCAATCTGCGTGAGGGGTGCCGCCGAATTTCAAACATGTGTCGCCTGTGTTTTTGGATCCTGACCCCGCCGATTTGCGTGAGAGGTGCCACCGGATTTCAGAAATGTAGCAAATCCTTCTTGTGTTTTTGGACCCTGACCCCGCCGATCTGCGTGAGAGGTGCCACCGGATTTCAGAAATGTAGTAAATCTTTTGTGTTTTTGGATCCTGACCCCGCCGATCTGCGTGAGGGGTGCCACCGGATTTCAGAAATGTGGCAAATCCTTTGTTTTTGGACCCTGACCCCGCCGATCTGCGTGAGGGGTGCCACCGAATTTCAGAAATGTGGCAAATCCCTTGTGTTTTTGGATCCTGACTCCGCCGATCTGCGTGAGGGGTGCCACCGGATTTCAGAAATGTGGCAAATCCTTTGTGTTTTTGGTTGGATCCTGACCCCGCCGATCTGCGTGAGGGGTGCCACCGAATTTCAGAAATGTGGCAAATCTTCTATGTTTTGGGATCCTGCCCCCGCCGATCTGCGTGAGGGGTGTCAATTTTCGAAAGAGCGTGTTCTACCGCTGCTGGCGGAAAACCGGGGGGGGTCACTACTGGTTCGAACCCCTCCCCCCCCCCCCTCCGGAAAACCGGGGGGGTCACTACCGGTTCGAACCCCTCCCCCCCCCCCCAGCTCATCATGAAAAGGGGGGGGGGTCACTACCGGTTCGAACCCCCCCCCCCCCTCCCTCGAAAACCGAGTGGGGGTGCGGACAGAGGTGGGGACGGTGTTGGTGGGACAGTGGTGAGGGGACAGCGGGACAGTGGTGGGGACAGTGGGACAGTGGGGCCGGTAGTGGTGGGGACAGTGGTGGGGACAATGGTGGGAACAGGGGGGACAGTGGACAGTGGTGGGGACGGTGGTGGTGGGGACAGTGGTGTGGGCACAGTGGGAATGAGGTGGAAACAGTGGGACAGTGGAGGGTACAATGGTGGTGGGGACAGTGGTGAAGGCGGTGGCGAGGACGGCGGTGGGACAATGGGACAGAGGTACAGTGGGGACAGTGGTGGGGACAGTGGTGGGAACAGTGGGACAGCTCAGTGGGACAGCGGCGGAGTCAGTGGGACAGTGGGGACAGTGGGGATAGTCGGGCAGTGGTTGGGGCCGTGGAGACAGTGGGGAGAGTGGAACCGTGGTGGGAACAGTGGCGGGGACAGGGGACAGTGGGGACAGTGCGACAGTGGTGGGGGCACTGGTGGGGACACAGTGGGGACAGTGGTGGTGAGGACAGTGGTGCTGGGAACAACAGTGGAGGATGTGATGCGGACGGTGGTAGGGACCGGGAGTCGTTTGCTGGCGGTGAGTGGGGGGTGGGGAGGGGTTCGAACCGGTAGTGATCCCCCTCCGGTTTTCGAGGGGGGGGGGGGTTCGAACCGGTAGTGACCCCCCCCGGTTTTCCGGATCCGGAGGGGGGGGGGGGGAGGGGTTCGAACCGGTAGTGACCCCCCTGTTTTCGAGGGGGAGGGGGGGGGGGGGGGGTTAGTGAGTGGAGGGGGGGGGGGGGGGGGGGGGGGCCGGGGGAGGGGGGGGGTGAGGGGTTCCAGCAGGGGGGGGGGGGGATTTTCGGAGGGGGAGTGGCGGGGCCACCCCCGGGCTCCGGAGGAAAAGGTTGGCAATTTTCCAAAGTAAAGCGGCGGTGGATCACGCTGTCTCCAATTTTTACACGCCCCAGCAATTCAGAACATACGCTTTGGGCGTGGTAGAAATACTTGTTTTGGGCCTCCCCCCGTCGCGCGGTCCATCAACAAGGAACAGTAAGCAGCAATAAGTCAACACGGAACAGTAAGCAGCAAGAAGCACAACTGTAACAGTGGAAACTGGAAGCTGCAACTGGGACAGAAAACTGCGAAGTTTCGGCCTACAGCCTGGTGGCCCCACAAGGGGGCCGGCGGTTTCTTGAGCATGTGGGGCGCCTGCGAGTGTTTTCCCATCCCCCCCCCATCAAGTGACAGCCCAAGAGAGCCCAAGCCTCGGTCACCGAGCTGAGTATCCAATAGTATCCAGGGCAACCCCGCCCACCCGAGGTGCGATAGCACCTCGTCTGCAGAAATGGGCCCCTGGCTCTTCCAGTGCTGACGCGTTTTTGACGTTCACCTGTATCAGTGTTTCTTGTGCGAAGGTTCGTGGGTTCATCATGACCACCCACAGGTACCGTCAGTGCGTGCAGGTGTGCGGATTCAGCTACCGTGCAGTTGGTGGTGACGACCTGCTCCACTACTCTATCTGCCGCGTCCTCGTTGAATGCGTCAATGGCATTATCCCACGGCTCCCAGATGGCTGGGGTGACGGTCTTCTGTCTTCCATTATCCGTAAGGGCTTCGCCCCCTGCCGCCGGCCCCCTCTCTTGGAGAATGGGCCATGGAAGAGCTAAGTCATGAGGCTTTGGCGCTGTCGTGCAGCAGTATCGGAACTTCATGCGAGGCCGATTCGCAATCGGCAAAACCAACTGATCACAAGAGGGGTTACCACACAGGGCGATTGGTAAGACGTGTATGGTTTACGAGCTTGGTTACCACACCTTGGGATTAAAGGGCCGAGGGAGTACTCGCAGTTTGGGTTACCACGCCTTGCGATGGATGTGCGTGAGGGGTGGCACCGAATTTCAGAAATGTGGCAAATCCCCTGTGTTTTTGGACCCTGACCCCGCGGATCTGCGTGAGGGGTTTTCAGAAATGTGGCAAATCCCTTGTGTTTTTGGACCCTGACCCCGCGGATCTGCGTGAGGGGTGGCACCGAATTTCAGAAATGTGGCAAATCCCCTGTGTTTTTGGACCCTGACCCCGCGGATCTGCGTGAGGGGTGGCACCGAATTTCAGAAATGTGGCAAATCCCCTGTGTTTTTGGACCCTGACCCCGCGGATCTGCGTGAGGGGTGGCACCGAATTTCAGAAATGTGGCAAATCCCATGTGTTTTTGGACCCTGACCCCGCGGATCTGCGTGAGGGGTGGCACCGAATTTCAGAAATGTGGCAAATCCCATGTGTTTTTGGACCCTGACCCCGCGGATCTGCGTGAGGGATTTCAGAAATGTGAAATCCCCTGTGTTTTTGGACCCTGACCCCGCGGATCTGCGTGAGGGGTGTCGATTTCGAGCCCCCCAGCAATTCAGACAACGCGCCCAGGAGACGCTAAAAAGTCTTGTTTGGGCCTCCCCCCCCTCGCGCGGTCAATCAACTAGTTACAGCAACCAGCAAGAAGTCAACTAGTTACAGTA